ATCTAAGGTTTCCAGCAAATGAGTTCATAATTTTTAAATTCCTTAAACCTTAAAAATGCATGCATTATGGCATTATGCTTTATGTTGTAGAGATCTTATTATGTGTATGTCTTTAGCTAAGCGTTTGCTGAAGATTCAACCTTCAGTAGCACATTTTCTAAATATTTTGTTTAAAATTGTCTTTGTCTTTTTATTTATTGGTAACTTACCCCTGGTATGACATTTTAATTCATCTCCAGTTGTCATACTTTTGTTTTATAAATTAAGCATTATGCTAGCAGTACTTTAATTGTACTACTCTCCATATGGAAATTAGCCCACTTGAAAGCAGAATTAGGGGCTGATTACAAACAAAGGAAGATAGAGAATGGTTCTCTATGTTAAGCAAATATGCTAAATACACCACATTACAATTTCAATACAAAATATTGTTCTATAGCTTTTCATACAACTTTCCTAGTTTAGGACTTCATGATCACATAGTAAAGTAAATTACATTTTACTTTACTTTAAACTCTTCTTTATAAACACATTCAAACTTACAATATATTTGATAGTATGATTATTCATCATTATTACAATTAAACTTATTTCCCAATAAATTGTTCTTCTGTATTAAAGATAATACAGATTAAAATATTTAATAAAATAATTAATAAAATAATGCAAATAGATATTTTATATACATGTATATTTTAAAAATATTATTTTAAAGATATGTATAAAATAATATATATATAATATTTTATAAATATATATTTATATGTAAAATATTTTATATACATAATACTGTATAATGCATATAGTACTACATTAAAAATAAAGATGCTAATAGTAATATATTGATATATTCATATGCTTAAATGTTGAGCTGTTCTGAAGCCTTTACTATTTCATCATTATGATCAGTCTGTTTTCTGATTGTTTTAATAGCATTTCTGTACAGCACTGTACATTCTGTACATTCCTATGCACAGCACAGAAACCCAGGATTGTAAGGGAAAAGCCCAGGGGAACCCAATACGTTTCATGATGAGGATAAGATACTTGCTTCAAAAAGACTTGGGAACAGCCAGAATACAATCCTGTCACAAGGATACAGGACTCATCTTGCACTAAGACAGAAGATTTTATCATAGGAACCACTCAGGAATATGCATATTTCCTTGTCTGCATTAAAAAGTGGCATAAAGGCTGTTTTTTTATTGTTTAAACCCTTCTTGCATGTGTATTTTATTCTTACAAATAATAAACTTTACATACTTAATCAAGAGAATTGTACTTTACTACTGAATATTTTCTGTATGTGTTTTCAAAACACTAGCTACAAATGAGCTCAATCACCCTTTCCTTTTGTTACTGCTCTTAAAAGAGGAAGTCAAAGAAAAGGTAACATCTTCTAGACAACAGCTATACCTGTGTAAGAAGACTTAGTCAATTGTCATGTAGTTCTTCTTTGTTGAAAATGTTCATTAGTGATGAACAGATGCTAGGTGAGTGTGCTCTCTTTTTACCCCAGGCAGGCACAGGATCTTCTGGCTTTTCATTCTTGATCCTAAATGACTTAATTGAAAAAAAATATTAACTTAATGCATCTAAATCACTACTGATTCCAAGACTCAAATTGAACAAGAATTTAAGGACACCTGCCAATTTTAAACTTACAAATACAGTTTGTCTCTCAATCCTTCCTTACAGTATCTATTTTTATCCTGTGTTTGCCAAATAAAGAGCTGCCATGAAAATCTGGAAATGTGTTTTTCAGTTCTGTGGAAACGGTGTGAGGTTTGAAGATTTAGTTTCATCTAGGCCAAAGTCTAAAATAACTGAGGAATTTAAGTTAGCTGTAAACAGTTCTGAGATACCATTGGCACCCATGGTCTAGATACTTGAAAGTTTTTCATAAAACTCCCTTTTGTCTTCCTATCTTCCTTCCTATCAACTTGTAAAGTACACAAATGTGCAACTAGTCAAAATATACTATTAGTACAGTATGTGTTATGTCTGAGCTGGGACAGGTAAAGCAGATAGATATATCACACCCGAAGAAGGCTCCACAGCCGAAACATTGTTTTCCTTTCTTCTCTTTTCAGCATAGAATAAACCTTTAACTCCTTTGCAACCTACGAATGCTGATTCAGCTACCTACTTGAACTACATATATACATTTAATTTAACGGTAAACTGAATACATTTGACCATCATGAGTCACAGAGGACAATAAGCTCATCATTATTTTTGGCTTCTTATTCAAGTCATGACCCTTTCCACATCTTGTATTACATGCTGTTTAAAGAATAGCTCTGAAAGTGAACCTCCTGGATTATACTGCATCAGATCTAATCAATAACTGCTTAATTTCTTTAAAGCTGAAGGTGGAAGGAATATCAAGATGGTAAATCCAATCTAGATTAAATCCAATCTAAATCTCTATTTTCCAGAACTTAATGGTCTGCAGGAGTCGAGTCAAGTCTTAATTGAAATAACATTACAATTAATATGATGTGTGTCACACAAAATTCGACCACATAATGCAATACTGAAGACTAACATTAAAAATAATGCTCAGTATGAAGCCAAAGAAGAAACAACAATCGTGACACTTGCTTCTTCAGTTACAGTTGCTTCTTGTTGCTTCTATTCACTTAATGTTTAATTAGTGTGTTTGTACATCTTTCACACAGGTCTCGCCTATTCCTACCTCCAACTAAAAGATTCAATATATGTAGTCAAAAAGTCCAGACTGGACCTTCAACTCAATTTTTATTTTCCAAGGTCCAACTTAAACTGGCAGCTAAAATAACCTCTGGTAGGATACACATAATAACACATTTTATTAAGTTTGCATTAACATGGAAGTGCAGTTAAAATCTCAAAGGAGGCATTTTGTTTGCATAAACATTCATACGTATCTGGAATACGCTGCCCAGTTACTGTATGTTGTCAAAGCCAATATCTAGCTTCTTTCAAGAAAAATGTAGATAAGACCTTATTTTCGATTAGTTACTGTACCTGCAACCACATGAGCTACAGTAGATGACATGAATGTATTCTCTTGTTTGTAACTTTATACAGTATATTCTCATAACTAATGGTGTAAATATTAAAAATGAGAAATTAAAGATAGTATTGAAATACTCTAAAGTATATATTTAAAAAGAAAGTGTTGACTCCTTACTGTTAAACATATGCCCTTACTTTAATCAAGCAAGAACAATCATGTTCTTCGATTTCTTTCACATAAATTTTCCTTCACAAAGCATGTCCCTAGATCCCCATCTACATCTTGGCCAAAATCTTTCTAATTAGGCTAAAACTGAAACGCTGCATACATTCTGGTTTCCACACTATGAAAACAATGTAGAGGCCTAGAGAAATGTGACTCATTCCAAGGCTTAAGGGCATGAGTTACAAAGACATTTAAAGCAACATTTTCAGTCTCATTACATGCAGCCTAAAAACGGTTTTGGGTAAATTGTTTTACAATTTAAAGAGAATACATATTCTCTTTCTACTAGTCTAAATAAATTTACCATGTGGGACATGGGGACTTAACTAGCTAACCACTTCATCCAATTCAGGTTTGCAGGGCAGCCAGAGCATTTCCTAGCAAGCAGTGGGTGCAAGGCAGGTGATTAATAGTAATAATAATAATGCTTGCTTACACTTCTATAGGACTTTTCTGGACACTCCACTCAAGGCGAGGAGACAGAGTGATAAAGCCAATTTATAGATGGGGATTATTAAGAGGCTATGATTGGTACTGTAAAGGCCAATGGGAAATTTGTAACACACTTACTCTTTTCAAGAAACATCCTGGGATGTTTAATAACCCACTATCATCTCTTCCAGCAAGAACCTTAGCTTTTCCCAGGACGTCTTCCATCCAGGTACTGACCAGGCTCACACCTGCTTGGCTTCAGTGGGCTGCTAGCTGTTAGTTGTAGGGTGACATGGCAGCTGGCTGTATGGGGATGGACAGGATGCCAGTTCATCGCAGGGAAGATACTGATCAATTAATTAACCAGTATGTCTCTGGACTGTGGGAGGAAACATAAGCACTTGGCACAAACGTAAGTGAACACAGAGAGAACATACAAACTCCACGCAGATTGTATCCCAGAATTTAACCTAGGGCCCCAGCAATGTAAGGCCGCAATGATAACCCCACCACCACCATGCTGCCTATAGAAATAGAATTAAACAACACAAATGTATATAAAAATATTATGTAAATATATTCCTCCAGTTTCTTTCAATATAAATCTGCATAATCTGTAGGATATACTGTATATATATATATGGAAATTACGATATTTGTAGCTACAATTAAAAATAATTTACAGTGAAGTTGTGCTTTTGAGTTTAACTTGGAATTAAAATAAAAAATATATTTTGTATTTAATAGTAGTGCTTTCAAAGCCAAAGGCAAACGAAAACTGGTGATCTTAAGCCATAAATGTTTAATTTCAATTTGTCAAACCATGTTTCTCACTCTTAATCTAATTTGAATTTCACACCAAAGTCAAATAGATACCCTGTTTCGGCACTATTATTTTAAAAGCCTTAAATAAGACATCAGTTACAACAGTTGAGCATACGTTAAATTATTTTATTGTAAAGATTTAACAATCCTACAAGTAGTGAACAAAAATTGTAACCAGTGCAATACGTTTATTCAAAGCTTGTAAAATAATACTGAAAACTTCAATTTTGAAACACAGGCAAATACAAATAAACAATGAAACAATTATGTAAAATGTATTAACTATTTCACACCAAAAGAGATTAGTAAAGAAAAAAATAAGTATATATTAAATATCACTTATAGTTTAAAAACTATCCTTTAATAACTCATTTGAAAATAAACTACTAAAAACAAGTTCCTAAGTATGTTTTCTTTAAGCTATTATAAAACATTAATTTCAGATTTACTTTAAAATATATATAAAACATATTTGTTTTGAATTGTTGTATATTAAGCAATATAATTTGTTAAATTCTACATACACTAACAACACACACATTTAATTTATTAAATCAGAAATACTAAAATGATTAGCACCAAACAATTGAAAGTATACCACAGCTACTGAGTTTAATGTAATTACAGCAAAGTTTGAGTTTCTATTTATCTACTTTTTATTACTTCCTCCAATTCAGGGTAGTGGGGATTTTATGCAAAGCAAATTTACTTCTCCTTATCATTGTTGTTAAAAAATATTGCCATTAAAATAACTTTCATTTGAAAACTGTTAACCAGAAACATTGTCATGCTTAGCAGATGTCTCTAATAAACATCACTCAGCTGGGTACCAGAAGGCTTTTATATACTTGTTTTCCATACCTAAAACAAACATAATACTTTTAATATTTTATAAGTAACTTATAAAATAGCAGTTACTATAGTAGTTTCCAGAAAAGATAAGATTTTGAATTATTCACTTTAGTTATTTTTATTTAACTATATCCACTTTATAAAATGTATTTCACAGCATTCTTCCTTGTTGTCTCATCTTAAATATGGATGAAGTGGTTTCGTTTTAGCTCTTTTAGACAGACCAATTCTAATTGGACGAGAGCATGTCTTCAGAGGTTCTAGTCTCACAGTCTTAGGTTCCTGTTGCAGTCCTAAAAACAGACAAAAATAAAGTTTCGTTAAGAAAGCTTGGCTATATTATTGGTTGAATTACATTATACAAATAAGTTGAAAAAGAAGTTCTTGTCGAATACAGGTGTAAATGACTAAAATATACAGTAGCTCAGATTAAAGATAAAAAGTGATTTGTTTTAAGAATTTAAGTCTTGCATGTCTACTATTTACATATAAATATTTCTTAAACAGATTATGTGGAACCAGACACACTAAAACAACTTTGGTAAGAGTACCCTTGAAATTTCAGCAATCTTATTACAACTTATTAATACTGAACTGTTTTATATTATAACCTACACCATTATTATTATTATGACTATTATTTTTATTATAAAAATGTTTAGGCAAATAAATCAGATGTTTTTGTAATTCAGGGATGACAAATATGACATAAACTTAGGTTCAAGCTTATTTCAATAAAATATGCAAGTTAACAGTGCTGCAAAGACAATTTCAGCAATTTTACACTCACAAATCTAAAAATTTTAAATTTTAAATTCCTTTCAAGAAAAGACTGTGGAAATGGGGATATTATAAAATAAATTATGCCAGCTTCTTCTACTTTCATGAAAATAGGAAATTAAGCAGCACCACTGAAGAGACAGCCATGACAAAATACATGGTGCTCATGATTTCTGTAGGGAATAAAATCCAAAAGCCCTTTCAGAAAAATCTGCAAATCTGTCTTCTGATTAAGTGGTTGGCTTGACTGAAATTTTACTTACAACTGCAAACATACAGTATGTTTGAGTATATAGTTTGTTTTACTTCAAAATAATTATCCTGAAGTGGCTACAAGCATACTGTACTTCACAAAGCATACACTGTACATCCACAGCTGCAAACACCTGATTGAGCATAAAGCTAAAGTGAGTGTTACAGGCATCATTTCTTAAATGCAAGGTTTTCATTTTTTTCTAAAGAAATTATGGAATACTGCAGTGAAGATGGTTGTTCCTCTGTTCTGGCAGGCTAGAAATCTTTCCTTATCATGTTTCTGTGCCAGTATGTTTATTAATGTTTCAAGTGCCAAAGAAAGTCACAACAGATTGCTAAATAGTTCAAAGGAGTCTTCATTCAGCCAAATCTTCTTTATACAGCAACAGAGACTCTGCTGCTCTAGAACACCCCAACTACCAATTACCACTCTGATTCACTTTAAACCCCAAAATCTAAATTATCCCTACGTAAGAATGTGGTGCTTAGCTTTCTATCCCTTCTGAAGCAAGGCCACTTTATGTGTGCTGGATGCTGTGATTGTGTGATTCTGTCCCATCATTTCTCCTTTCTACCTGAAGCATGTTCAGATTTCTAACTTGACTTCACCTGAGTCACAGCAGCATGTGCTGCCTGTCCCAGGACCTTTCCATCATCCAGACATTTTTTTTCTAAAATCTGAGAAAAAAAGTCTAGGGATAAGTTGTTTTTTCTTTACAAAAATAATTCTGCTTCTTCAGAAAAATAATTCCATCCTGAAAAAAGAGCTCTCATAGTCTCCAAACATGCCAGGCCTCACTCTTACTTAGGTGGCTTTTGAGGCATATGCACATGAAACTCACTTATAGGACAAAACAGGTAATGAAAGCACTGAAATGTATAAAACAAACGTGTCTGTTATTTGCAACTGTTAAACCTACTCACAATTACTTACCCCTTTTATCTTCATGCAGGCAGGAAGGAAACATAAAAGCTGAAGACCACAATTTATAGTTTTTGTCTTTTGTTTCTCCTTGTTCTACAAAATATGAATACAAAATCACTGAAAAATGAACAAGCAAATCTTACTACAGTCATGAGACAAAATCTTGGTAATCACAATTCCTTACTATTAATCTCATAAAATAAACAATGATGTAGACAGAGCTAGTTACAAATAAAGGAGGATCACTGCAATATCATGAATGCTTTCTCTCTGTGTGTTCACACAATTAGAAAGTGTCTTCTAACTTACATAGAATTAAGTTTTTTTTAAATCTTCAAGTGAGTGCAGATCTCAAGATCGCACTGTATTCAGTTTATTAAGATGAAGTCTCCTGAAATCACTCTTCAGGTATGGTGAAGATGTATATTTTAATGAGCTGAAAATTGTCATACAGAATGTCACATATAAAAAACTTTCCCTTTTGAATCATCATTTTGCTTGATTTCTCACAATGCAATAATATAAAGCCTTTAATAAAACAGAAACAAAATATGTAGATTAATCTAAGTAACTCTTAAACAAGTTTTTTAATAGCAATCTTTGCAAATTAATTAAATTGAATATCTGAAAATAATTAGGAAATCATGGGCTTGCAGTGTTTCACATATATTCTTAAATAATATGCCATTAACCTATTGCATATACTGATGTTGGACAGATTGTCTGACTACAGTCCATTTCAGATTGATCTATTTCCTTAAAATGCAATTTATTGATCATGTAATTTTAAAGTTTTTAATTTAATTTAGTTTATACCCCAATAGTGTTTGTTTTGTCTAAAACAAAATAATGTACTTGCAGAGTACTGCCAATTTAATACATTAGTGTTAAATAGATTAATTCAGAAGTGCTGAGGAAAGCTGAGAGATTACATTAATTTAGGCAAAAGAGGTTAAAAAGGATTACAGCAACATACTGTAATTTATTAAATTTCCATTAAGAAAACAATAGAATTTCAAAGGCAGTGAAATGTATTTTTTGCTACCACACATTTAATATTTCTCTCATAAACTACAATAGGGTCTCAACATTCTCAAGGGTTCGGTGCAGAGAACAGTCACGAATATCCAATCCTGCATATAACCAAATCTGCCCCATGATGTAGTGCAGTATATATAATGTAAAGTTAAACAGCAAAAGTAAATTACTATTGTATTGGCCTAAGGTCAAGTAAAATGACATTGATCAACTAAACAGACAACATTACGGATACTTGGAAGTGGTTTCTTGGAATGGTGAAGAGAGGGCCTTTTATTAGCTGGATTCCTTTCACTATCCCAGTCTGTTGCATGCCTAATTTGAAAACTGTGCTTAATAACCTTTGGCTTGGTTTCATCGTGCTCTGTTCTTCTTTTATCCAAGACCCCATCGGCCAGACTTAATAGCAAATAAGGGAATTCAGGAATGTAATATTTGCAGATCTCAAGATTGCACTGTATTCAGTTTATTAAGATGTAGTCTCCTGTAGACTAATATTTTTTTTATTAATACAATATACATTTAATCATCAAAAGTATTTTAAGCTATAATAAAATGAGAACATACAAACTCCATCCCAAATAGATAGCACCCAAGGTCTTTGTCAAAATCACCAGGATCTGGTATTCGAAAGACTATAAAAATCTTATGACAGCAAATATATTAAAAATGTACTCATAACATGGACAGTCCACTTTTTATCTTTCAATCAATCATTCACCCTTAAAAAACATTGCAGCCATTTTCTTGCCCTACCTGCTGCCCCATTTCTGCATTCACACTTACACTTTTTTGTGATTTCATTGCTACACTTCAGCATTGGCACCTCCCATGCAGAGGTGAAGTGTAGCAGCTCCATACTGGAACTGATGAGATTCTCCAACCAGACTATGCACAATTGTATATGGCTCATACATACTCAATACATACTGTAGTACTAACCTCTGCGTTTCAAGACTGAATAGAGAGACTCCTCTCTCTCAGCATATAGGGAGCTGCATGGCAAAGGGACTTCCTGTTCACAGCTCATTCTTGTACTTGTAGCTTGAGAATTTCCACCACCGGTTTTAATTGTCATGAAGTCTTGATTCTGATTTGTGTTTTCATCGCGGCTCATCTGACTATAATGGTCAGCATACTGATTCTTTCTTCCAAGCTCTTCACTTTTAAAAGGGTATTTTTCACACATACATGGGCTAGACATTTCCTCATTGCCAGATGTGCCTATTTTGAAAAATAATTTCAGTTCCTCTATAACTAAATCAAATTGTTTTTTCATTTCAAATACTGTCTGGTCATGTGAGACCGGAAGAAATAATCCTTGTGCTTGGACTACTACAGAATTGATCTTACTTTCTGGTGAAGAGCAAATATGAGAACATTCTGTATTCAAATCACAAATGTCCAATGGGTTTTGAATTTTTTCATCTTCCTTGGGTGCATGTATGTTGCATTTAACATTTGGTGTGTTTGCATTTTGCATAATTTGACTAGATTGAATATCTTCATTGCAGCACTTCTGTTCACTTTGTGTTAATAAAATACAGGGCTGTTCTTTGTATTCTTTTTCTAAATACAGCTCACTGTTGTAACTCAAAATCAGATTAGACTCATTTAATATTTGCCCTGGTTTTATTTCTTCTAAAAACCCAGCTCTGTCAGAATTTAGTTGTGGATTTAAGATTAAATGTTTTGCAGTCCAGTGACTTGGAAAATCTTTGATGAATGCAAGGTTTTCTAATTCTTCAGTACCAAGAGGCAGGGCCACTTTTTCAAAGGTATCATAGGCAAAAGGCACACAAAAAGAAGAACAATCTCCAGGGCTTTGAGATGTACGTATAGCTGTGTCCCAGTTGTTTTCTTCTGAGATGCTCTTTTTAATGCTTGAACATGGAGAAAGGGGTACAAGAGCATCATTAGATGTTTCAATATCTGAAACTATTTGAGCTTCTTCATCCTCTTCAGGTTGCATTGTTAACATGCAGTTAAATTCAGCTTCTATTGTATCTTCTGCACTGTTATAATGAGCACTCATAGGTATATTGTCTTTTACTTTATTTTGGAACACAACTTCTGAAGTAAAACGGTCCTTTTGCATCTTGTCCTCACTCAGTCTGTCACTCACAATTCCTGTGTCTTCTGAACCATTCAAGGTTTTCACTGCATCCAAATTTAAATTGCAGCCATACAAGATATTCAGATCACTGGATTTCTGTTCCATTACTTCCAAACAAACATTGAAATTAATAGAGTCTGTGACATCCATTACCTGAAACCACTCTGGTGAGGCTTTTGATGAAAGGTCTGAGGTACAAATAGTGTTCTGAGGCTGGTCAAGGATACGAGACAAACTTGTAAGGGATGCTCCCTTTCCATCCTCAATAAAGTGAATTCTCGCCTGATACTGGCACATTGTCAGCATGGAACAAGATTGATCATACTCCCAACTCAAAGGGGTTGCTGTGTTTAATTTCACTACAGCTCTCTCTAATGGAAACTGCTCCATTTTCCTTGTCTCTGACAACAGCTGAGTTGTTGAGTTCAGCTTTGTATGTGGCTTGCTCATTAATTCAACAAACTTGTTCATAAAAAGACATGCAGGGTATTTCTGCAATGCCTCTTCATTCTGAACATCAAAAGGCTCTTCTATGACGGTATGTTTCTTTTGAAAATAACATTCCTGATCATTGAGAATCTCAGTTTTTCTAAAGCAAACAGCTGCTTCTGATTTCTTTAAACCAAGTATGCTACAGGTTTGGTCTTTGCTTTTAGGGACTATACAAAATGAACTTACAAATTCAGTTGTTTGTCTGTTTATTTGATTCTTTACTTGTAGTGCACTTGGATCAAAAATAGTTGTACCACTATGTATCTCTTCTTCATGAGTTTCAATGCAATTTGTACCTGATAAATTAAATGACTGGCCTTCAGAAGAGTTCAGCTCTTTGCAGTTACTCAGAAAAGAATGCGTAACATCTATCTGAAGCGCTTCGGTGTCATTTCCAGAGAGATTCTTATTATTTCTGGTGTCATTTCCTTCACTTATGTAAAGTGCATTAGATAACTCTCCCACTGTGACAGCTTTATGCTGACTCGTTCTTACAGCTTTGTGTAAACTAGTGGAACTTGTTGTTCTTTCTGTGTCAATGTCTAAAAATCCTGCATGGCCTTCACAATTTGCTTCCTTTCGAGGATTATTAGACTGACCTTCTCCCATTACTAAATCACAACCTGAAGAAATGCTTCTGACTTTTTCCATTCTCTCCATTTCACAGAATACACGAGTTTCAATTACTTTTGCCACATCAATTATATCAGCAGGCTCCAGCAAATTGCTTCCTAAACCTCCTGTTATGTTTACACTGTATTCATCTGATGTTTCAGCTTTAGGAATTGCACCTGTCAATAATGTTCCACTAACAGTAGAATGTTTTATTTCCACATTGCCCCATGCTTCATTACTTGCTAAATTCTTGCTTAAAGTGACATCATTACTTAAAAACAATTCATATGCATATTTTGCTGCTTCCGTTTCAGTATTCTCATTAGTATTGTTCCAACAGCCTTCAGCTGGAGCTTTTGTTTTCCTGTAACAGGCACTTGCTTTTTCATGCTCACTGGTATTCGATTGGGTAATATTTTCCAACACTCTCATTTCTTTTTGAGATAATTTATTTTTTTCAGTCTCTAAACACATTGTAAGGGGATTGATCTTATCAACAAAAGGAAGTGACTGAACATTTATGAAATCGGCGGGGGAATCACACCCATGGATATCATTTTCAATGCTGTTATGTGGATACAATTCATACTTTTCCTCTTCACATTCATCAGCAGCCAAATTATCCTTCTGAATTTCAGAATTCTTCCTGCCTAATCCAGGTATGAACTCATGTTGGTCCTTTGCATTAACACAATTTACCATCATAACATTACTGCTGTGGGTATTATGTGTTTTGTGTTTACATAAAATGTTGCCTTCTAACTCTTTTGCACCTGTAGGCACATCAGTCACAACACCACACTTGAATGATGATGCACTTTCTTGTTCACAACTCAAATCCTTTTTAAATTCTCCTTTCAAGCAAGCCTCTGGTTTTATCTCATCCATTAAACATACTGATGAGTCTGTGGCATGGTTTCCTTGAAGAGACAGGTAAGACATGCTTTTTTCACTCACAGGATCTTCTGTAAGCTCCTTATTCCCTGTAAGCAATCCAGTATCTGAATCTTTGGGTTTTAGATTCTGATTATTCAATAGCATGTTTCCATCAAATGTTTTGGCACTCCCTGGAGACTGTATACGGCATATCAGGTTCTGGCTAAACATATCACTGCTAAATTCATTCTGTTTGTTTCCTAATTTTACATGTTTTACTGGATTCAAGAAAAGCTCGGAATCCTTCAATATTGTTACTTCATGGAGAGGTTGTTTAGTAGCTTTGGCAATAGCTCTATTTTGTTCATCTTTTTCAAAAGTACTATGCTGTGCTAGGCACCCCTTGTTATTTTGAGGTTGTGACTCCAAATGAATCCACAAATATTGTTTGGGGCCGCTACTTACACAGCATTCCTCAGTTTCAAAGATTTCATTAGCTGTTTCACTGGAAGCACTATCTGTCTTTGTTCGTTTTGAAGATGGGTAAATAACATCTTTGTCACAAGAATACAAAGTAGTATTTTGGGCTGAATTAGAAACTTCCATCACTTATTTTGAAGGCCAAAATACCTATAAGCAAAAAGAAAACAAATGACAACAGTATTATTACTTTTTAGAATACTAATGTAAACATTAAGCAATTTAAAGTTAAATGTCTTCAGTTTTAGTAGCTGAAATAAAGATTGCAATGTACAAATATGGGGCAAGCCCACATGACTAGTCTTTTTTTTTTTTACAGATGTAATGTAATAGACATCAAAAAGCAAGATCATGACTATATTTGACCTAGATCTAGGTTATGGACTAGATTTTGCAATGAAATGTGGCAGTTTATACAAAAATCACAATTTTTCGGAGTGAACTCCAAACAATGAAAGATTATAATCAGAGATAGGTGTACACAACCCACCATTTTATAGTTTTATATCTACCCTTGCCCTATTGTCCAGTAGATAATAAATAAAGTACAAAGGTGGTCTTCACTGAACTACAAAGCACAATCAAGTGTAGAAATTCCACGCATTTTTTCATAAAGGATGAAACCATTTAAGAGTACAAGCGTACTTCATTTTATTACTAAATGAAAAACACACTACTTTCTGTCACAGAAAGTTAATTTGTGCAATCCAGTGAATCTGGGGTCACTAGATAAAATGATTGTTAAGGTACTGACACAGCTGCAAGTGGTAGCTACACTAGCTAGATAACAGCCTAGTTTGACCTGAACACTCAGACTGGAAAACTCCCTAAAGATCTAGAAATGGTCATCAGTTAATGTGACAACATACAGTAGTTTATTTAGGGACAGACTATAATCACAAGAGAAGTTGAATAGAAAAAGGAAAATCTGGGCAAGAGATGCTAAAGAAAAGACTGCAAGTTACAGCAAATCACCCAGCCTTATTACTGAATTCCCCCGTGATGAACTGAGATCTGTGAGATAGAGTATTGAAGACTCCTACAACATTTATGGAGTCTTTTATATTTATTCTTCTGAATTCACCAAATAGTTTGTCACTTCATGTGATTGATTTAATTTTGTTAGGGATCAAAGGTTGTCTCTTTTTTAGGGCAGGCTTACCTATAGAGAATTACAGTATAAAGTGTAAGAAAGCAGTCCTATTTACCCTGATGAAGATTTGTGTATACTTCATAGTGCATTAGTACAGTATAAGAATAGCAATGTAGAGAAAGAGACTGGGAGGGTTCACTATGGGACTGTGAGAATATCCTGTTGTAAAAAACCTTTTTTATTCTTGTGCTTTGTGTTTCTATGTTAGCATTAAATGAATATTTGTCATTCCTCAAAATGTTTCACAGAAGATTAGAGAAGCCACTTCACCTCACTTGATATTTACCTGTCAAGTAAGCTGTGTTATTATTTATCTTGTAGAATTCTGTCTATACTTAATTTGGTATCAGGACAGAGAATTATTTCAAAGTTTGATTATAATAATAACACCCCCTAATACTTATGTTGTAACTGTTGACTTTATTTGGGGTGTTCTTTGACAGACACTTGGAGAGAATACCACTGATAGTGTGGGGGAGTGTTGTGTTATTCTTTTTTGAGACAAAATAATAAACGTTAGTCACCAGTGTATTTCTATATTTGTTTCAATTACACAAAATAAAGGTTTTCCCTTCATAAACTTAACCTGAATGAGAATTTGAACACTCAAGGAAAAGGCAAACTGAGAACTGAACTGTTACAATGAAAATACTGATATTATACACAGGTAAAGAAAAATAAAATGATGACTGAATTAAAAACAATTGTTTATCCTGTCTGTCAGTATCTCTGTTTGTTTATGTGCATTTGGTTTATACGTGTTCAGCATGAAAATACCATATTACACTATTATTACCCAACAGACAGATAAGTCATACATAATGTGCGATAATGTTGATTATGTAATAGTAATTAAAATCCCAAAATACATGTTGAGAATAACTTACTTGTGCAGAAGGGAATTTTCTGATTTCTGAGTGGAATTAGAAAGCCACAAGCTAGTTTAACACATTTTCAATATTTATAGATCTACAGAAAACTCAACTATACACACAGTAATACATAAAATAGAAATAAAGAGCAAATTTAATAGATTTTAAAAGAATTTAAAATAAAAATAATCTCCAACAAGCAACACACTGATATAATGAATTCAACATGCAAATAATCTTTTCCAAAACTCCTTGACAGACCAAGAGCACAATAGTCAGCAAATATTATAGGTTAATGTTTATATTCTGTATATATATATATAAAAAATATTTCTAAGCAGATTCAGTTTATGCTAGTTTAATTGTTAGGTTGCTGACAGACAGCATCGATATTTTACTCCAGTCTGTTTTCTTGCACCAACATGCTTCTATTTTTAGTTACGAAGTCCCAACCCCCAAAAAACATGTTAAACTGAAACTCTAGGCAAATAAAAAAACTAAGCAGGTAACTAATGTGGTTATCCATGCTTTATAGAGATTGGAATAAAAGGCAATTTTGCGCAGGACCTTAACTGGCAAAACAGAAGCCAGCTGATCTTTTTAGAAGCACTTTACACTGCTGAAAAAAACACATTAATAAAGAAAGAAACAAGAAGCGGAGGTGGGAGGCTGAGCCAAGGGGTTGCAGTAATTATTACTTTTAGTCATAATTTGCTCCTGTATTGTATTTTTAGTACCACAGACAAGAAAACATAATGTTAATTACTTTAAAAAAAAACACTAATCACCGCTGCGAGGTTTTGGTTATTTCTCCTACAGCTGATTGTAATGAAATGCTACCAAAAGCGGTAGGCGTACACTGGAAAAACATAAAGAAGGACAATATAATTACAACTATTCATGTAAACAGGTTTCCTATATTTGAATTCGTTGCAATTCCTCAAACGTTCCTCTATTTTTATGTATTTTAAAATGCCTCCATCAAATTCTACTCCACAGCAGATTACACTATTAAAGGCAAGTTGAAGACCAAGGAAGTTTTTTTTTTGCTCAGCATCTAACACCCGAAACAGCGTCTTCTGAACCCACGCTGTTAACGTCACGTCCACCGCGTTCATTTCCGGAACATAGTCGTTTAACCTTTAGTATTGACCGTTTTGGAGCTGGCAATCAGCTAACATCCATGAAAATTATTCAAAATGTTCAACATTACAACATTAATATAAGTGCGGGTCCAAAACACCAAAAATATTAGTAATTAGCTGTAAGAGACGTTACGTAGAAAACTGCGGCGCATGTACAGTACAGTATTAATTCAGAGAGGTGTTTTTTTCGTGGTACATTTTTTATATTTACCATTGACTCCTAGGATGTAGGGTGGTTAGTGAAATACGCGCTGTGAGCTCAGTCACTTATCGTCGCCCTCAGCGGTGGGTCTCCACTGCGGCTCGAGCACTGTCTTCCGTCCGCGAGGAAGCGTCTCTAGAAAGAGGCGGGCAGGCAGGGTACGTGACCCTATTGTGAAACGTGAAATACATGTAGTTGTTCTCGATGAATTAATTTTGTTGATCTGATTGAACACGCTGAAAATACAATTCAGAAACTGACCTCTGTAACCATTTATTTTTAGCCAATGTGCTAGACGCACTATTTTGAAACCGTTGTATGTTGGGGCCATCCATATTATGGACATAGATAAGACTTTATTGATCCCGTAGAGAAATTGATGTCACAGCAGTCCAGCCCAAGACAAGCAAAATCAGACATCAGAATAGACAAGGTTATACAAAGTAAATATAAAATAAATACATAGGTGTGTGCAAACAATGCTGATCATAGTCACTGTAAAAACAATAAAATATGTGCAAAATATGCATAGGTTTATAATCTTATACATCTTACAATTTACAATCTTATACATCTTACAACTTAAAATGAATGTTGCAAAACGCACCTTACACGATGGGCGATTATAAATTTATATTAACTTACATGTATTCTTGTTACAGAATATTTACCAAAGCCGTGATTATTTTTTCCTTATATGAAAATACCATAATTTTAAAATCCAAAAATAATCTATTTGGTAGGAGTGGAAGTGAAGCTTCCTGCCAAACTGACAGCCAATACTTCAGAGCTAAAATAAAATAAATCAATCTTTCTCCGTATTAAAGTAATAAGTACAAATTAAAATCTGTGATAATTAAGCTTGTTATTCCATTATTAGAAAGCTGCATGTCCTGCTTAGGTTTGTGGCATCCCAGAGCCAATCCTAATAACATACAGTAGGGCACAAGACAAGACTGAGAGAACAGAACTCTTCTTACCCTAGATGGCGTGCCAGTCCATCACAGGGTCAAAGAGAAAATTTAGACTTGCCATCCATCTTCTAGCAATTTCATCTGATTCAGGGTCACAGGGAAGCCTACTGTATCTCGGAAAGCAGTGTTTCAGAGAGGGATACACACGAGATGAGTCGCAGGGCCGATGCAGATACACATACTCACACCAGGGCCACTTTACCTACCAGAATGTCTTTGAACTGTGAGAGGAAAACGGAGCAACCGGTCGAAACCCACACAAACACGGGGAGAACATACAAACTCTACACAGATTAAATGCCAGTTCTGTGAACCAGCAGTGCTAACAACTGTGTCACCATGCTACTTGACCACTAAGCTCATCCTACATTTATCAGCATATCTTTGGAAGGTGGGAGAATAGTGCAGCAGCCAGAGAAAACCCATGTGAACATATGGGAGAATGTGCAAATTCCACAGAGGCTGGAAATGAACCCAAGACCCAAAAAGTAGTGCTACCTGCCAAACCACCTACTTACTTTTTTAAATTAGTAAATAAAAATAAAACATAGGTACTCAAAACCATTAACTCATAACATTTCACTAAGTCTTTATAGAAATTTAGTGAGTTCTTAAGAATTCCAACTCCCTGATCACCCCTGCCCTAATTCACCAACACCAATAACGTCCTGAACTCCAGTATGAAAAACTGTCTTAGAATGTTGTTTTTTACATTGCCTCCTTCCAATTCTGATCTTGCAATCCACAGGTTTACACACCACTGAAAAACTTTTTGCAGATACCAAACTGTCTCCTGTAAGGCACAGACTCCTTATGCTGTCATAGCTTCAGCAGCTTTTGCCAAGAGACTTTCCAAGTATGTCATGAGCCTCATAATATCACCTGTTATGTAAGAATTAATTATATTTAGGGTTCTAATAATATATTTGAAAAAAAAATCAATTATAAATATTAAAAATCATCCATCCTTCCATTTTCTCACTGCTTGATTGAATTCAGGGTTGCAGGGGAGCCAGAGCCTATCCAAACAAGCAACAGGAGCAAGGCAGGGTACACCCTGGACAGGACACCAGTCCATTGCAGGTTATTAAAATGAATAAGACAGAAAGAACAGTTTGGTATTTGGTAAATATACTCAACATGACCGAACATGACTATAATTAAGAGGTTCTCTATAGGTTAATCAAGAAATTATCTGCTCAAAACCTGTTAGAAAGTCGAATGTATTCATGCTAGCGACTACTGCAATAAAGATTACTGCATTTCAGTTTGGAAAGTTCTGTAATTAGCAGCTGCAACGTACTGCAGGTGATGCAGTATAGATCTAAGAATCCAATTACAGATATATTTAAATATACCTAATTGAAAATAATAGTAATTTTGGCTGTAGTATAGTCTAATATCTGGTAAATGACCTAAAAAGCTGATGCTGAACAATATTTAAAGCATAGTTAAGAAGCTTATTCATGTTTAACAGACAGCATATTAACCAAATTTATGTTATCGAAACAAACACAATCTGTATGTTTTGTATTTTTCAAATTGTTCAAGGATCAAGGATGCAGGGAGTGTGTGAATCTAAGTTTCACATTGTGAAGTCGTGCTTCATGTGTGGTTTTCTTCATCATACTGTATACTAACAGTTGCAGGTATCAGTATAAATTTTCAGCATTCACAGTGACATTGTAGGCTACAGAAAGGGGACTTTTAGAGGTCAAAAGAAAAACTGTAGAACCCAGTTAAGGTGATAAGAGTTAAGGAAATAAAACCCTGTAATGTATACCTAATATATAAATAGAACATGAACATTTAAATATAAAACTAAGTGAATAGAATATATGGAGCCCAAAAAGGGGTTGTAATATATTATAGATGATGATATATTTAAAGCAAAGAGAGACAATTATAATAGAATAAATAAGGCAGAACATAAAGTTTTCACAAGTCAACATATTTTGGGCGATGATCTATAGGATGTGGAAAAATAAACGCATTGGATAATCTAGATAATAGTGTGGAGAATGTATTGTGACGATATTCTATTGTATGTGCCTGTGTTTTTGTACTCCTGCCATACAATAATATTCAACAGCATAAAAGCTTTGCGCATCGTATTTGTGAGTGATCATTTAGCTTTCAAAGAAATGAGATTCTTTAGTGCTTTCGATATACTGGACGATTGCCCAGTGGCAGTATTTCCTGCAGTGGGTTTCCCCCAAGCATGTTACCATCGCTGCCCCATACCCTGCGCCATGCATTGTAAACCACTGATACGTCTAAAAATCTGATGTAATGTTTTTTTTAAGCAAGGTGCAGAGAATAAGGCGTAATTCTATAGCCTGCGCAAACTCAAATGTACACGACAACGAGTAACAGCATTTCTCTGCAAAAAGACAACCAACTAGATGAAATAAATTCGTGATGCACGAAGTCTGACGCCGCGCTTCTATTGTACCGCTAGCGTCACTCAGCTCCAATATCTGAGTGGGATCGGTCCCTGCTGCATCTCTGTTGGAACAGCATCTGCATCTCTTTCCTGATTTCGGCTTTTACGTTTCGCAAACCGCAAGACAGGGATCATCAGATCGGGGCATACTTGAAGCACAACGCTTTTGACACCTGAGAATCGTTTACAGATCAGACCTCCATTAGCTTCGCTTTCTTGCTTGTGAAGGTAAGATGTTGCTGTACGTATTTTTTTTTGCTGTAAAAATATACATTGATGTGTATATATGCGGCATGTCTTTTTATTTCGGTAGGTGCTTTTTTTAACTTACACATATTCCAGGGAGTGGGTTAATTTAGTTTATTTCCTATTTTATATAGAAAGGGACAATTAGAACCCGACGATGTGTAGATATGTACTGTACTGCTAGTATACTGGGGGTTAATATGAGGGATAGGAAAGCAAACGCACAACTGGTATTAGGCTATGGAATGTCTTGCATGCATGGGTGGCTGATTGTAGTCTGTTGTCTTGATGACAGTCTGTTTCCAAGTATTCACTGGACACATATGTAACAAATTACTAAAAATATCGGTCCAAGTGGTATTTACCGCAGTACACAACATTAAAATTATTTTATAAAAACAGTGTGTTATGCGGTTACCACTGTAACAAAGACAATCGTTATGCAATATGTATCTCGAAAACATTCGGTTTTTAATAAAAATAACAACATATCGTTAGGTTTTTAACATTGTACAGTAACAGTTATTGCAATTTTGTTATTTTGTATATAGACAGTGAGAACGTTCATATAAATAAATTAAAGAGATGTTTAATTTCATTGTGTGATGCATGTGTAATAACTTACTCTTTGAAAATATAGTTTCATTTATTTTGTTGTGAAAGCTGCAAGCAGAAGTTGCCTGCCATCTATTGCTGAGTCTCTTGTCTACCGACTGAAACAAAACGGCAAGCAAAGGCTTGTGTAATTACACGCCAGGAAAGATCATTATAAAGGAGCTTGTTAAGGAAGAATGTGGATGTAAATCTTTTACGCATGCGAAAGTGTCTAACACAGCTAGCTCTAATGTAACGTGAGTGTATATTATACAACACCTAATCAGAGCTGACATTATACAGTATACCTGTGGATATAGGAAGTTTTGCGCGGTACTCTTCCACTATTCCGTGGGATAAACATATATTTTAGTCAAACAGGCAAATGACGTCCTACCCGCCACCCCCAAAAAATTGTACAAATAAATGTAGCTATTCCCTGAACACGGTATTGCACTATTTGTGGGTACTGTCATGCTGTCACATACTGTACTGTAGGTACGTATGCACATACAGGTGAGGGGGCTGCTCAAGAAAGGCTAATGGCAAAGATGCTTTAAGTGAAATTCTTAGGATACATAACCACACAAGTAAGGGTCAGTTTCGATAACAAAGACACCACGTGTTTAATTATTGAATTGTTTTGTGCACAGATAATCGGTACCATGAAGCACATTTCCCTTTGTATTTTACTGCTAGCAGCCTGACGAATGCACCAAAAGTCATTTTTCTACAGATCCACCGTGGTTGTGCCAAAGAATGCGCCCCATCCCCCACGCACACAGACCCCCACCCTCATTTTCAGATTTTAATTACCCGAACCTATAATTTCACTTTGCTACTGTCTTCTCTCTCAAGGTCGTTCCCTGCAGGAAAAATATGAAAAAGGACATTCGGTTACATAACGCGCCAATAATCAGTGGCGCCTTCTTCATGTTTTAAAATATACTGGATTCTATCAAATGTATACAACTTCTTTGCTAAATAGACGAGCATGATAAAGTAGTGGAAGATGTTTGTTAATTTCTCCGGGATTCTGAATTTCTGTCTATTTACACATTTAGTTTCATGTATTAAATTATTTTGAGAGATGATGACAAAGGCTGTTTGTCCCAGGAGTTGTGACAGCCATGAAATCAGCCCACAGGAATAAGGGATTTGAGAGCTTAAAAAAGGTGGTAAAATATTCTTATAAGGAAATGGAGGGAATAAAAAGTTGAATTGCAGACAAAATATGAGATGTTCCAAGTCTGCAGACTGACGCTTGTGTTGTAAGGTTCCTTTAGGTTGTAGTTTGAGGAGGTGAAGTTTTAGAATGTTAGTAAATCTTAAATTCTGGAATTACAGATGCATTGTCACTAAAAATAAGAGGATTTAAGTATACGTGTTTAACATCTGTATATTTTCAGTATTAGAATTATGTAATTGAATTCTAGCAACACAGAGAAAAGCACACAAATTATCTGGCAGTACAGTCAAGAAAAAAGACAGGCTTCAAATCTGATTCTACATGTTACAGTTAATCTAGGAAGAAAAATGGAGCAGTATACGATTAAGCTTTAAATATATATATAATGCAGTAGCAGTGTATGCTGTATATTTACCAAAATATGTTAAACACACTATAAACATTTTTGGAGATAAGCTTCTAATCTGGTCCTATGCATGAGAAACCATGTGTGGGCAGTCTATGCACTCATATCTGAATTAGAGCTCATTTTGCAACATCCCATAATGTCATATTTAGATGGAGAAAAAATGTCATTATATTATGATTTTGCATTGAATAGGGTTTCTGTTACATGGATTCAGAATATCACCTCAAAGGAATAAATTAGAACTGGATAGATATCACTTGTAATACTGTTTGTAGCTCTGGTAAAAATGTGAGAAATACAAAAGACCAAACTTGGAAAATATAAGCATTTTAAAAAAAAATATGACATAAGTTGCTGGCTTTTGCCATCTCTTATACTATTACAAAGTAACAGGAAATTAGTAATAACTGGTACCTTTTATTTCAACTAATACTAGAATAATGATACGTCTTAAAGCCTCTGGTAGAGTTTATCAAAGCTCTAAAACATTTACAGTATGTATACTGAAGCATTAAGCAAGAATGGAAAGAAAATATAATTTAAACTTATGGGAAAGACAACGGCGGTGTGCTGTTTTCAGTCTCAAAATGGTATATGTTGCCACTATCTAGAGAAGCTATAGTATGTGAAAATTAAAAAGGGAAATACATTTTCATTGGATTACAAATATGCCAGAAGCTTGTTCAATGCCTTTTTCTACATTGACTCATCATTGTCTTGAGGAGTGTGTTTACCGAGATTGCACCAGAAGCCATACACTGCTCAACAGTACAGCAGTTGTGCTCCCACCTGGGATTTGATCCTCCAGCCTTCCAGTTCTGGTTTTAACTTGAGTCTTGATTATTCTTGATTGGAAACTCTTGATTAACCTCTATTAATCTGGGACATTAGTGTATTGTAATGCCAAGGTATAGTTTTCTATTATCCGTGCTGCACCATTTGATGTGGTTAAGTAGAATGGCAATTCAGCTCTAAGATGGACTGTTGGTTAAGGGTAAAATTAAAAGTCAAAAGTTGTTCCTTTCTGTTTGATTTTACTTTTGATGTGATTGCGTCTGTGGCTGGGTAGTGAATTCCCATGAAACTCATCAAATGAATTTGCTGCACAGATTGAAGCACGTTATCGAGGAATTTCATACTTACACCTGGTGGACAAATAAATATACAAAGTAGTTCATTCATCTTTTTCATCATTAAATTAGTGGTTATATTACTTTTCTTTTCGAATGTTTTCAATTTTTGAACAAAATACCGAAGTGGATATTCAGTATGTAATGCGTGTGCCAAGCAGTCTCTTTAATGTTTTAACTCACTGAAGTAAAAGGTTTTAATTACTATCTTTAAACTGTATCCTAAGAAGAAAACACAAATTAAAGGAAGTGGATACCTTTTGCAATGTTTTGGCTGTGCCTAGTACATTTTGAGAGAAAACCTTTGTACTATTTAAGCTTAGTTCATCACTTGATAAATACATTACATAGAATTCAACTAATTAAACAGTATTTTTTTTCCAACTACTGTAGATAAAGTAATGTTGTCAAAAGAATTCTGCTCAAGGGAGGCATGGTAGCATAGTGATTAGCATTCTTGTAGTGCTGGGGACCTGTTTTTAATTCTGGACCTGGGTTCTATTTGCATAGAGTTTGTATGTTCTCCCTGTGTTGGTGGGGACTTCCATCCACAGTCCAAAAACATACTAGGACAGTATGTTAAATGGCTTCTGGAAAAATTGGCCCAAGTTATGAGTGTTTGTGTGTCCTTCCTGTTACGGATCGGTGTCATATCTAGGGTGTATCCTGCCTTTCCCCCATTGCTTGCTGGGATAGGCGCTCTCTCCCACAACCATGTATTTGATAAAGAGAATAAAAAAATGGATGAACAATTTCATTTTAGTTAAATTACCAGGTGTCTAAGTTGTGTATTTTCTTATGTGGTGTGCATAACTTTAGAGAACATTTTACCTGAATATTTTCTTTTTATCATTTGGTTTAATCTAGTTTAGCTTAGCAGTCATTTTGCTGTGACAACCAAAGCAACTTAGTGGGAAATAAATGTAAAGAATATGCTATTTATATGTATTTTGTTTTGAGTAAAAATGCATTTTTATGTAATGATAGAGGTAGTTTAAAAACAAACTGTGTGCTTACTTCTAATTAGTATTTTGTTATTTCAATTTTAAAATTCAATAGGTTCTTGTAACTCCATTAAGGAGCTATTCAAAAGATGAATAAAGAAAAAAAACTTTAATTCAATTATGAAAATGAAAAGTGAGAGTTTGTGTTGACCTCAATTGTGGCACAATTATGTTACAATTAATATTCCATTACCACAACAACCACAGGGGACAAGCCATTCAAAGCCTTGAAATTGAACAGTAATGTTTTAAATTATTTATAAAATCAGAAATCATAAAATCAGAAGTGTAGTTCACAAAAAGACACAAAAAAAACAAAATAATAAAGGTAGTGTACATGAAGAGGTGGGTCTTGAGCAGGGTTCTTCCAGCTCTTCTGTCATTATTGGAAATGATCTTCAGCACCTGGGTTAATTAAGCAATTCAGGATCATTTCTGTGTGTTTTGGAAGTTGCAATGTGAATTGAAATGCCAAAAGTGACTTCGTTTTCCTAGTTATCTGATTCAAACATGGTTGGCAAGGTGGTGCAGTGCTTAGCATTGCTGCCTCACAGCACTGGAGCCCTGTGTTCAATTTCAGACTTGAGGTGTTATCTGTGTGGAGTTTGTATGTTCTCCCCATGTTCGTGTGTGTTTACTTCAGGTACTCTGGTTTCCTCTCACAATCCA